AACCCTGGCTCGTGCCAAAGGCCACGTGTCCGTCATCACTAAAGTTGCCTCGGTTCGAGAACTTGGGTACGAGAGGGGAAGGTCATGAAATGAGCACCCCCACTCGCCCGATCAAAGGATCGGCCTCTACTAAGCACGATATGTTATTTTATAAACACATGTGTTCTTATTCCAGTTATTTAGCTAACTTTACTATGTGAAGCACACATACAAGTATAGACTAAATCGCAAGACTTTGAACATATCAACTCGTGTTTGTTTTTGCAAATGGTTTGAAAGTGTCACTCTCAAGTGGGCTAAAACACGGATTTGCCACCCTCGGGTGGGCTTAAAACATGATTTTGCCACTTCACAAAGTGGGCTTAAAACTCACAATCATCAAATTGTTCCAATTCAAGTAATCAAGCCTTCATCCATAAGCACTCATGCAGTCAATCACTTAAGCACATAGCCAAGCAAGCTATCATGGCAACGCTCACACTTACGCAAGGATGCTAAAGCGTAAAGACTTGCCGAGTTCTCCGAGCCAAAACAAAAAAAACTAGTTTGAAACAATGCATGATCCTAACTATGTTAAGATGCCTAATGTAACACATGCAGTAATGCAACTAAATAGGCTCGGCTATCTAAGATGGCATATGAATGCAACGATTTGATACACGTATTCAAATAAGTATTGAAATACAATGCAGTTTGAATGATGCGCCGAGCCTCGGTGCATGCAAGACAAATGAATGATGCAAACATGCAAGCGTAAGGTATGCTAATTGAAAAATGACCCTAAACTAGCCATCGAAAGCGGTTAAGGGCTGGTCGCGGATCGGTTTTGGCCAGGTGCGGGTCAAAACCGACCCGAACCGCACACGTACGGGTTGAAGAAAACAGACCCGCAACCGCATGCAGTGCGGTTCGCGGTTTGTGCGGGTGGGTCAGTTGGTTGTGCGGGTGGGTGCGGTTCGGTTTGTGGTTTGGGCTTTTTTTTTTAATTGGGCTTAGTTATGATATTAATTTGAACAAATTTGACATGTTGGGCTACTTTTTAAGCACTTTTTTTTTTATTTATGGAAAAGTTATAAATTAAATTTCATTATAACATAAATGCCCATATAATGATATAATAAATTTTACATTCTTTCAAAATACAAAAGTAATTGATAAAACTAATTACAAACTAAAACAACATTAAAATCCACACTAAAATCAATCTCCATCCATCCATAATCCAAAGCTTACCTAAATTTTACATTCATCCAAAATGTAAAAATAATAATAATAACTAGTTATCTCCATCCATCCATAATCCAAGCTTATCTATTAATCCCAAATGCAAAAATAATAATAATAACTAGTTAGAAACTAAAACAAATTAGTTTTCATCCATCCATCCATTCAAAATCTAAAGCTTACCTAAAATTTAGTGCTCCAATAAATTTTACATTCATCCAAAATAAAAATAATAATAATAAAAATTAGTTACAAACTAAAATAACATTGTCTACAAACTTCATCCAAAATAATTTCAAAAGGTGGTATCCAAGGCTTCACTAAACTCTTTAGGTCCAATGTCCAATCTCATCCAACAATCTGCAAAAAAAAATTCCAATGAGCCAAATGAATAAATAGAAATAAATAGATATAAATAAATAAACATTAATCTAATCTCAACTAATTAGAAAAATCTCACACATGAGCCAAATGAACATTAAAGTTCAATTATAGCATCTATATTAGACTTTGGGGTTGAAGATGAACATGGCTCCAAAGTACCTAAAAGCATGAGTCAACAAGAGAAGATAAATAAACTTGCATAGTAAAAATAATAATAGAATTAAAAATAAAGAGATATTCACATATTACCCGAGTCGTATTGCTCAAATTCCTCCACATCATCCATTGCTTTTCAAAGAGAAATTGGAAGGTTGCTTTTAAGCCAATTTTGTGTACATACAAGAGTTTCAACCATGGAAGGGGCAAGTGAACTACGGAATGGATCAAGGATACGTCCCCCGGTACTGAAAGCCGACTCTGAAGCAACGGTAGAAATGGGCTTGGCCAACACATCCTTTGCCATTTGAGATAACACTCTATACTTTGTTGCATTATTCTTCCAATATTCCAATATCTCAAATGTCTGATTTTTTGCAAAATGTTCAACCTCGCCCAAGTACTTGTCTAATTCCGACTTGCTTCCACTAGTGAAGCGCCCTTCCAAATATGAATTAAATTGGGATTCCATTTGAGAATCCCAATCATCCTCATCAAACACCATTGTCTCCACTTCAGTCACCCTCGAGACACTCTCATTTGATGAATAAATTGTGGCATAATGGTTGTACAAACGAGTCAAACAAGAAATAATTTTGTTCACCATCTCATTCACCTTCCTCTTATCTCCATGAAATATATTTGTAAAACAAAACTCCAAGTATGCTATCTTTTTTGTAGGATCAAGGGCAACAGCAACATACAACAACAAATTAATCTTATTTCCATCCCCCCAATATTTGTTGAACGTTTGCTTCATACTCATAGCCATTGTGCACAAAACATCATCATTGTCCAAAATTAATTGATTAATTGTGCTTTCAATTTTAAACATCTCTTTATAAAATGCATTGGAAGTAACAAAAAGGGACCCGGAAAATTTCTTTGTTGCAAGGTAGAATAGTTTTAAAAATCTCACAAACAACCTACATTTTTTCTAATCCTCCTCATTTGGAATCCTCCTAATCCCACCATCAACATCCTTGAAGTAAGTTTCAAAATTGGAGTCTTTATACTTCTAACGGTTAAAAGCCTTCTCAAACTTTTCAACAGCCTCCAACATTAAATATGTGGAATTCCACCTTGTTGGTACATCTAGGCATACAAGAGCAGTAGTCACAAGTTTTAGATAGGCCACACACTTCTTAAAAACATCTTGCCGATTAGGAGAAGACCTCACATACCTAACTGCAAGTCTAATATTTGCAATAGAATCATCCATTTCCTTCAATCCATCACTCACAACAAGGTTTAGCATATGTGCACAACACCGCATATGCAAAAACTCATGCGCCAAAATGGTCCCCTTCCAATCTTTGGTATTCCTTCTCAAGTATCGAATGGTAAGATTGTTGGGACTAGCATTATCAACAGTTACAGTGAAGATACTATCGATGTTCCACTCAAGCAAGCACAACTCAATTTTTCTACCCAAAGTTTCCTCCTTGTGATCTTCAACTTGTTGGAAGTTTATGATTCTTTTTTGTAGTTTCAAATTATCATCAATGAAATGAGCCGTTAGACACATGTAACACAAATTTTGAATAGAAATCCAAGTGTCGGTAGTGAAACAAATTCTACGACCCTTCATCAACCTCCTCAATTTATCCCTCTCGTTGTTGAATATGTTTGTCACCTCTTTTGCTATGGTATGACGAGATGGGATTTGTGTGAATTTAGGAACGGCAACATTACAAAATCTTTTAAACCCAACTCCCTCCACAAATCGAAAAGGTAACTCATCAATAATCACCATCTCGGCAAGAGCCCTTTTACAAGCATCAAAACTAAAACTTGTTGCCACAACCTCAACACCCTCTTCGGCATTTTGTTTTGGTTTAAAACTCAATGTTTGTTGCCCATCTTTATCATTGTTTGGAAATTGTTTGCAATTAGGGGTATGACTTCTCAAATTACTAGTCCCATAAGTCCTAGAATCGGCCATATGCTCTTTATAACAATACTTACACACAGCTCTACGTTTCCCATCTTCTCCTATAACCTTATCAAAATGGTCCCAAACCGAGGATGGTGCTCTCCCACCACTACTCTCACTCTTTCTTTTGTTCGGGGCTTTAGGAGGCTTAGATTCAGATGGGGAAACATTAGTTTGAGAATTAGATGATTCTAGTGGAACAATAGGGCTTCAGATGGGGAAACATTAGTTTGAGAATTAGATGATTCTAGTGGAACAATAGGGCTTCCGGTAGATTCAACATTAGCATTGTTATCTTTATCCATTCAAACTGGTAATAAAAAATTAAAAATGTATGAGATAACAATTAATTCATGGATGGTATAATAATTGAATCTAAACCATATACAATACCATACCAATACCATTTTGATTAAATTTATGGATAAATAGTCAAATAACATGTCTAACTTCATCACTATTGAAAAGATGTTTTTGTCTCCCCTTGGAGCTTTCAAGAGGGATTTCACATCCAACAAGGGAAACATAATAATTAATTATTTATTTTAAAGTAAATTCATTTCTGTCCCTTTTTGCATACAAGAAAATTCATCATTAATACAAGAAGAAAGCATGTGTAGAGCACATTACTCTGTCAAAAAAAATACAAAAAAGAAAAAAAAAATTAAGCAGCTCACTCTAGTTTTGTCATGAAAAATGAAAATAAAACAAATGAAGAAAGAACAACATGAATAATTCAAATTTTAAAAAAAAAATAAAGTGGGGAACAAGATTAAAATTAAGATTTTTATTTTTATTTTTTATAATTTTAAAAAGGGAGGGGATATTTTTTATAATCTTGTTATAGCTTGTTTTGATTGCCACAAAAAAATAAAATAAAATAAAATGTTGAAATCACTATTGAAAAGATGTTTTTGTTTAAGCAGACTGTCATTTTGGTGGTTGAATCCATTGCTCAAGAAAGGAAAAGAGAAAATTCTTGAGGACAAAGAGATACCAAAGTTGAGGCAAACAGATCAAGCAGAGACATGTTACAAATACCAATGGATCAGCTTGCCAAATCAAACAGAGAGCCATCAATCGAATGAAAGAGAGAGAGAGAGAGAGAGAGAGAACCGTATAGGGCTGTGTTGTTGCCGATCGCCGGTTGATTTGCTGCTGCCGATCGCCGGCGTCTCGCCTCACCGCCGCTGCTACTGCTGTGCTGCTAGGGTTAGCAGCTGCTGCTAGCTAAGGAAGGTGATGAAAAGGGGGAGAGGAGAGAAAGAGACGGGCTGGGCAAAAACAATAAGAGCCTGCCCTAATAAGTAATAAATAAATAAGGTTTATTTTGTAAATATATATATATATATAAATATATTTTTTTAAAAAAAGTATTAATACGCGGGTCGCGGGTTGCGGTTCGGGTAGGGTCAGAACCGCAACCCGGCCAGAACCCGAACCCGATTTTTGGCAGAATATTTGACCCGCACCCGCCCACCTACCTACATCGAAGCTGCCCAAAAGGGTGCGGGTAGGGTAGGGTCGGGCGGTTTGTGCCGGTGGGTGGGTTCTATGCCCAGCCCTATCATCATGCATAGGCCAGTACTGAGTTAATTGTGTGTCAACCAGAGTTTTAAAAGGCTGACAGAGTTTTATGAAATGTTGCACCGGTTGTGTGTCACGGTGAGGCAGGTCACGGAAGAGACTGCTGGGGTTGTGGAGCGTTGGTTTGAGTTTGAAAGGGCTGCAGAGGTTGGGGAGGTGAATTGGGATGTGGGTAAGGTGAGGGAAGAGGTTGTGAAGGGAGGAGGGGGTGGCATGGACAAGGGTGGCTCGGAAATGGGAATTGGAGAGTTACGAGGATGCAAATGGATGAAATGGGTGTGTGCCTATCGTGTGGAGAGAAGCTTGTTAGCATTGATATTGATCCTAAAGAGACTGAAAACTTCACTGCTTCATTGACCAATTTGGTACGCCAAAGAGAGGTTGAGGCTGATTTTATGCAGTTTCAGGTATGACATTATCTTTATGCTTCATTGATTAATACCGCAATTCAACACATGGAGTTACTTGAGATGTATATTATTTTGGAATTGATTCCTATAGTTGATTCTTACACATTAGTGGACAATGCTGTCAATAATTTTTATCTTGTTTCTTTATGTTACTTCCAAATTTGGAATTTGAATAACTAGATTGTCATCTTGTTGTCCATAAATATCTTAATGATTTATGTCTAGTAGTGGACATGTTGGTAGACTGCATTACTCCATATCTCTGTTACTTTATCACATGAATATTTTATCAAATGTCGATATACTCTTTTTGGCAGGGGTGGGGTTTGAGACAGCAGTCTGCTACTAATGGCTGCCAAGGTACTGCTAGGCCTGAGAGACTTGTTTGAAAATGATCAATGTACTTGTAATTGTATTGTTGAAAATGTATTCAATGTCTTAGTCAAAGGCCCATATTTGCTGCTTGTGTATGGTTCAAGCGATTAATACGTAAAAAGAATGGCATTCTGACTAACTTAGAAGGTGCACTCATTCAGGAGTGGCTTCAGTGACATGATCCATTTGATGCAGTTATAGATGGTGCAAATGTGGGGCTTATTAATAGGCATAATTTCAACTTTTCCCAGGTAAGAGGGTTGCTGATCATAAGCTTTAACAGTAATATATCTCTTCCTCAAAGTTAGAATCGCATGGATATGGTTCTTAATAATTTCTTTTGGTTGTAGCTTAATTCTATTGTAAATCAGTTACATCAAATGAGGCCGTCAAAGAGATTACTACTTCTTGTTTTGCATAAAAGTCATGTTACTGGTGGTCCAGCGCAGAGTCATAACAACAAGAAGCTGTTAGAGAATTGGAAAAGGTCTGGTGCACTTTATGCTACTCCTGCCGGTTCAAATGATGATTGGTAAGATCTCTTTCCTTACAATATTTTTGTTTTGTATATGTAATGTTGATATATGAATGTAATGCTGATACCTATCTTTATGTTTCCCTTTCTGTGAGATGCATCATGCTTGCCTTGTTATCTGTGATACAGTGAACAAATACTATCACAAAACACTATTAGTTTCAGCAGTCATGTTTCCCAACATAATCATCTAAGATTGTCGTAATTCAGAACCATCTTAGAAAAAAATACTTCATTTCCCTTAATTTCATTGACTCATTGGATGTTCCTTTTCAAGTTTGGGATGCCAAGAGGCAAGTGCTTGTTCTCGCTTTAAAAGATTATCAATCTTCATTTTAATTGTCTTTATGAAGAAATGAAAATGCTTTTTTTTTTATACAATTTTAGCAAGGTTCTACACTTTGTTTGGATGTTTGTGTTTCATGAGATAACTAAACTAGATCACTACTTGTATTTTAAAATATATTCCTCTGTTAAGAGGATGAGTTGGTTTATCATCTGCCTATTACATGTAAGATAGGAGGTTCTAAATTGAGGTTCAGTTGCACATCAGTATTTAATTTTAATATTGTTGGCATGCATTTTGTTGTTTAGAGCCTTCATTTTCTATGACAATTTATCCGAATCTAGGTTGTGAAAGTGCTGAGCCCTTGGGATTTTAGAAATCATTTTGGGCTAAGCAGCAAAAATAGTAGGTTGGAAATCATTGTTTAGTTCAAGGGTCCTCCATAATTAAATATTCTGAGATGGAGTGGGTCTAGGGCAAGATATCAAGGGCAATCAAAATTATATATCCTATATCGTATCAGCACTGGCTTGATTGAAATGAAGCTTGTTAAGTTGTTAAGATGAAGCAAAAAGATCATTTATGAAGTTGGTCTTAAAAGCTTTTGTATATTGAAGATAAACTGCCTTATAATTTGCTTTGAATGCCATTTTCTTTAAATGCCAAAGGAGGAGGACCAATTTAGTGTGGAAAGTAGTTCACGTAGTCAATATCATTTTCTTTAATTTTGTCATACTTATATTTATGGTAATGGTTGTTCAGCTTGATCATAACACTTTATATGTAGTTTCTAATAATAATGAAAATGCTTTTCATGTACTTTCCGCAACAACCCACAAATGTGGAATGTGGGTTTTATGTAATGAGATATATGAAAGACCTCATTAGAGATCAAAGCATCCAAAAAAACAAAATGTGAGATAAATTTCAACTTTTATTATTATATTTATATTCATGATACTTGTACATCATCTTCATTATCTAATTGTTTGTAAATAACCTCTTGCAATTCAATGAAAAAAGGACTTACACAGAAACCGAACTTGATGAAGTGCGAGTTGAATGGATTAATTTCGTCTTAAACAATATGAGTTGAAATCCAACATAGAAATATAATATAACTTTCGTTCTTTAAATTGCTAATAAACTATTTATTTAGTTGGTGACGAATACACAATTACTTCAAGATTTCATTTTGGATTTGTGGATTCCATGTATATTTGGTTTTGTGACTTTAAAATAGTTGACTTTTATTTGCTATATTTAAATAATAGTTGGCTTTTATTTTGGTTTTATGACTTTAAAATATTTGGCCATGCGCTGAAGATTTTCATTTTGGATTTGTTGATTCTATGTATATGTCATATCTATATGGTAATCCAAACATTTTATACTAGTAACAGTCAAAGTGGTTCTTCATTTTCTGTTGATGCAGGAGATGAAGAGTCGGTGTGATGAGAAAATGTCCGACTTTATCTTTTCTAAGACTAGAACAGTCTCTACAAATAGTAAATTTATTCATATGGTGCTAGCGGTCACTTAATTAATTTGTGTTTTCATTTTTCAAGTCAGAAATTGCTTGGAGAGATGCAAAATATGGTCAAAGAATTCAAGAACTTTGTTCTTCGGGTTTTTTATTTTATTTTTTAATACATGTAATCACAGTTAAAAACTTGTTATTAATTCCTTTGTATATACTTTTGAACATTCAATTTTCATTTATGAAATATATGACGTTATTTCATTCAATATGTGGTTGTGATTCAAATGATATGTGTATTATATATTCTTCAAATGCGCGTACAAAAATAATATTGATTATGTTGAACCCTTTTTTTTATCACACTCATTAACTGTGATGAGAAATGCATATAATATGTGATCTTATCTCACTATTAATCACAGGTTTTATTAGATATTAATCATACTTAAAATCTGTGATCTAAATGTTATTAGTCACACTTAAAAGATGTGATTTAAATATTTATTATTATCACACGCAAAACGTGTGATGGAATCATCTTTTAAAGACATTCAAAACGTGTTACACTCTCAAAAATCACACTTTGACAAAACTTGAATTGTGTGATTAAATAGCATACATCACCCATAAAAAAGTGTGATGTATGTTATTTAATCACACAATTCAAGTTTTGTCAAAGTGTGATCTTTGAGAGTGTAACACGTTTTGAATGTCTTTAAAAGATGATTCCATCACACGTTTTGCGTGTGATAATAATAAATATTTAAATCACATCTTTTAAGTGTGACTAATAACAGATCACAGATTTTAAGTATGATTAATATCTAATAAAACCTGTGATTAATAGTGAGATAAGATCACATATTATATGCATTTCTCATCACAGTTAATGAGTGTGATAAAAAAAAGGGTTCAACATAATCAA